ACGCGACTGCTTTGAACAGTTCGGGGAGTGGCAGCACGTTGGCTGCAACAAGAGTTTTTCTTTAACTAATTTTTGTGGATTCACATCTTGTACACACTTGTATATGCAGATACCTGTTCCAATCTATTTTTCCCCCTTAAAAATGTATGTTGAGAGTTCCTTCCCTCCCCCTGCCCATATATTGCCTGTATGTAACACTTGTGTACCCTGGTATAATAGGGGGACAACTTTCGTAGGTTTTAAAATACAGGGAAGTTGTTTGTCATCCTCCCATCCCTATTCTGGCCTAAGAATTGTAAAAGTCCTGGGAAGTGTTTTGATTTAAATGTGTACTAAAAGTCTGTCATGGTGCATTTAAGATTTTACTTACCTTGCCTGTTCTCAGAAATGTTTTTCCCCTGTGGCAAGCTCTGCATGTTTGGGTTTTTTCCTATAACATATTAAACTGGACTTGACACCTATAAGACTTTAAAAACAAACAAACAAACAAACAAACAAAAAAAACCCTGCTCTCCTGTTTTTTTTAAAAAAAAGAACAAAACAAGCAAAAATCCCTTTTCTTTAGCTCAAACTTTGTTCAAGAGATCTTGACTATTACCTAAAATTTCTAATGCAAAACAGAAAATAATTAGTGTTAAGTAGGATAGTGTAGAGCAAACCTAGGAGATGGGGCTTGTTAGCCTTGTGACTTTATATTGGTAAAGTCAGCTAGTGCTAGGACATCTTTAAATCATAACTTGTTTTCCAAGCTCCCCATCGTCTTTTTCACAACTAATATTTCCATGCTAAACACAGCCAAGCATAGAAGTGTTAATGTACAAATTGTGAAATTCTGTTAATTCCCAACAAAATATTTTTGTATATAATAAAGATTTAATATTTAAAAAAAGTAGTTGGCTTTTTTTCCCCGATTTTTGGTCATACTGTGTATTTTAGCCAAATAAGGAAGCTATCAAAAAACAATCTGAGCAGATCTGCCTTTTATCTTAACGTATTTGTCTACTGTTGAAAATGGGCTCCACATCAAACAGCACACTAAATATTTCCAGATGTGCTATTACAAAACACCAGAGAAACGAAGCTTCAGGGCTGGTGTGTGTGACCACCAAGGGATCTGCACAGATTGCTCTTTGCAGAGATGGGTCTTTTGGGGGACTTGGGTCTGTTTGAAGTTTAACAGGCTTCCCAGGTAGGTGTGTTGCTTACATAACATGTATGGGGGGAATAAATTCAGGACAGCTGTGTGCTTTTCAAGGAAAAAGCTTGAGATGATCCCGATCACAAGCAGTGAACATTCTTGATGGCAGGCAGGCTTTTTTTCCTTCCCCTTTTCCCTGTTGTAGCCTCTTCTCTGATGAAACCATAAAGCCTCCTGCTAGGAAAAGTATATTTAAAAACAGGCTCCATAATTCACCGCCTCCAGGGAGGGTTGGGAACCCTTCAGGTACAAGTGCAGCTAGGAGTCAAGGTTCAAGCTTGGTTTCTGCTTTATTCCTACAGGAAAGGTGAAAGCACAGAACTACATCGTCAAACACTCCTTTTCTGCTCTTCCCCTGCTGTGGATTGTGTTCCTGGCTGCACACTCCTCATTTCAGACACAGCAATCAAGTTTCACTCCAAATTCCTCAGCTTACCAATGAGGCTGTTTTTTCTGGCCCATGGAAGTTGGAGACCTCTCTTCCTTTCCCAGCTGTTCAGCTCCTGCTGCTGTGCATGGGAAATGGAGCTCAAAAACTGAAACTAGAATGCTTAGGGTTGGAAGGGACCTCTAGAGATCATCTAGTCCAACCCCCCTGCACACGCAGGGTCACCTAGAGCACGTGGCACAGGACTGCGTCCAAGCGGGTTTTGAAGATCTCCAGAGAAGGAGACTCCACAACCTCTCTGGGCAGCCTGTTCCAGCACTCTGTCATCCAACTAATGTCAAGCAGGTGAAAGTTTTGCTCACCTTGTTGACCTCAATGCTCTTGAATGCACTGTATTCAAGGTAAGGAATCGCTGGGGCTCTCTGCAGCCATCCTGTGAATGTCAGTGCTGAGCTGCTCTCCCTGCTCCAGGCGGCCGCTATTGCAGCCTGCAGCAGCCCAGGGAGGGCAGGTGGAGCTGGCTGCTGGCAGCGCTCCTCTGCAGACACTGCACACAAGAGAGGCCGCTGACCTCATCTTCCCCCGGTCTGGATCTGATTCCAAAGTGCGAGGATGAGGTTCCTCCCCCTTCTTCCAGGGAAGGCAGAAGCCTTACACAGAGAAGCAACATGCGTGCGGTGGGTGTTTGGGAGCAAAACCAACCCTTTGAAGCAAGCAAAAGCTCTGATGGGCTCTAGTGATGGCCTACCCCTTCCTGCCAGGGCAGGGCCTGCCCCACACGAAGAGGCGCTGTGGGCAGGAGCCAGGCCCGGCCAGGCCCTGGCGGCCCCGCGGCGCTGAGGCGGCCCCGCGCCCGGCCCTGTGAGGCGGCTCCCCGAGCTCGGCCTCAGGAAGCGCCTTGGGGACTGGCGCCACAGAAACCCCTCCGCTCTGCTGCTCCCTCAGCCTTCGTTCGCCCACCTCGGAGCCATGTGGAATACTAACTTAGTGGGAATGAAGCTGCTGCTTTCAAAAGTATCGAAGGAGTAACTACAGGGAAACCAGCAACATGAACAGAAACTGCCTGTTTTTCTCGGCTATGCTGCTCGCTCCGTTCTCCTAAAAACACCATCCCAGGCTATCTGTTGGGCTAGAGGGGCCTCTGTGGTGACTGAAGTGCCTGTCAAAAGGAAAAAGGAAGCTCTGCCCCAATGAGGTCATTAAAGTTTAGCACCAAGACCAAAATACAACCCCTGGCTTCCACAAAGCACCAATGGTGGAAGTGGTGCAGGCAGCAGCGGGGAGGCACCAAGACCCCAGCCCTCTTACCGGGACGCAGCCAGAGGCAGCGAGCACCAGCTCCCGGCAGCGCCCTGCTCTCAAGCCCCATGGCTCCCCTTTGCCCTTTCTTCTCTGGACATCTCTGTCCCCTCCTCAGCGCCCACCCCACACTCAGGGCATGTGTGCAGCAAACCCAGCTCAACGCAACACAACATTTCCATGACGTGCCATGTGTGCAGAGTTGAAAACAGCAGGATGCTCACACAGCCCCTCACGCCTTCCTCACCTTCCTTAAGTCGCTGCTAGCAAAGCTGCTGGGCTCCCCGAGTGCTTGGGGCAGCCTCACACCTCTTCAACTTGAACTCACTCCGTGAACGCAGCTGAAGCAAAGGACACCTGCATACAACACAGCCAGGCCAAAAACGGTTTTCTCCAGAAGTTCCTCAAAAACTTCTAGGGTTCTCTTCCTCTTTAAATGGCCCCCAATACATACACAACACAATACAACAATCCTGAAAGTACCGGAGGCTTAGAGCAAAACTCTAAGAAGAAGATTGGAGCGCATGGATAATAGCACTACACCAATGCCTCTCGCTGCCTGTTTGCAATATCTGGCAAGGCCAGAGGAATGACTGGAACCAAAAAAAAACAACATGGAAATCAACACAGAAATAAAAAATGAGGTTACTAGTTATTCTAGTTTTGACATAACATTTAATATAAAAATTTGATAAATTAGTTACAGAGACAATTTATGAGTAGTGGTTAGCAGAGGAAGACTTTTCCATTTACAAACACACATGACTCCTGCTAGTGTTTTATATATATATATACATACACACACACACACATATATACATACACACACAAGGTGAGGTACTGCTGACATCCTCACTTTACACATGAGCCTTGGAAACACCAGCACCCTGATCCACAGCGGTACCTGACTCTCTGAAAGTATGGAAAAAATACCACGTGCTTTTGTTTCCCAAACTGCCCGCCCCTCTCTCAGGGAAAGCCTACCTGACATGAGTTTTTAAGGCTTTTTAAGCAATCTGCTCCAGACCAGGTGCTAAAGGAGAAGAAACCTGAACCCAGGATTCCTGCATCCTACTTACACTGCAGGGCTTCCTGATCCCCTCCCCACAGGGCCTTGCCTGTTGGCCTGCCAGCCACCTCACAGTCTTGCTCGAAAGCTCTGATATTCTACTTACCCAGGACAGCATCTTCCCAAGCTCTTATCTACTGCATTTTCTTCCCATCCGCATGATCACAGAAAATTATGATTAAAAAAGGAAAAAAAAAAAAAAGGCATAGTTTAAAGCACAAAGTGCTTTACTAGCACTTTGCTATTAGTCAATGAGACAAGCAAAACAGCTGCACTGAAAGTGTCACGCAGGTAAAATGATTGCTTTTGTGGAGTGCAACAGGGACATTTCATATGCACACACCAGAAACAATCATCACATCTCAAAGAGGAAGTTCAAAATGCAATTTAAATAGCTGAAACTTGCTGTGCCAAAGTTATTAGAAAATCGAGAAATGCTGTGCAAAGGTATAATCTCTAAGGTAGTTCCAGTTTTTGAAAAAGAACTTAGTATTTTCTGTAGTGCAGAGTTCATATCCATAAACGCAAACTGTACTTCATAGAAGAAAACCTAATCAAGCACCTCTCTGAGCACCCTCCATTCCACTTTCCCCAGAGCAGAGGCATTTTGCACATCTGCTCTTAAATGAGCAGAGCATCGCTGAGCCCTGCCTTTCCACACTTTGCTTGTTTACAGAAAGCAGTTTGTTCCATGCAGTTTTCTCCCATGCACGTTAATGCAAGCAGTCAGGCTTCTGCCTAGCAGCACTTACATTCCCTTTCTGTTCCAGGCTTCTCTTTTCTTCTTCTCTTTTATTCCCTTGTTACTTATTGATGTGTTTTCCACGGCAGTAGCACTGCAGAGCAGCAGGGCAGAGTGCTCACCTGCTCAGGCTCACCTAGTCCATGCCGACCTCCATCCCACCAGGATGCACCACCAAAAGCACTCAGCTGAACGTGTCTAAAGCTAGAGACATGCATCACATACATCACACACATCAATGCTATGCTGCAGAGCTACCAAAGACACAACAGGCTGGCCAATAACTGAGTACTCAGCAAAGCTCCTATACATTCCCACCCAAAGTATCAAATCCATACAAAACGACATAAAGAACAAGGGGGAAGAACCTAGGTTCTTTTGTAGTTACAGCTTTCACAGAAGACTCTGTCATTTCAAGGTTAATGTTTGATGAGGCAAACAGCCTTTGCACAACATCAAATCTTCCTCTGTCAGTGAGGGAAGCCACCACAGGACTGCTCAGGGCCAAGGAGCCATCGGCCGCAGCGATGTTAGGCTGTGTTTATGAGAAAGAGCAAGAGACACAAAGATGTTAAAGAGGTCTTCCAAGCAGTGCTATACCTGGCGTCACAGGCCTCGGTTTCCTCTGGAAAAAACGAGTGCGTACGGGGTGCTGGCGCAGCCTTTCCCCACAGCACCGGAGTGAGGGCATGGGAAGCTCCCAGCGCTGGGAGGCAGCAGCTGGGACACGGCCCCGCGAGCTGCTGTCACGGGGCCGCTGCTCTGCCAGGAGGCAGAGCTGCTTTCCCCCCAACCCTGCCCCTTCTGCCCACCCTTCACATTGCCCCACTGCCCGTTCCAGAGGGGCGGCTCTCCTAATCCTTCCTTTCTAACTCCACTCTAACTCCACTCACTGGAGTTCCAGCATCATTTCAGAGTTTTAGAACTTCAGAACTTGCCAAGCTCCAGGCACTGCTGGCATCCATGTGAAACTTCTGTTTCCCAAGGGTAGGTGATTACTGGTACAGAGGTTTTATAATGGCCTAGTGAGAATTCAAGTAAATTAAAATTCAAGCCTAAGTTACCATTTTCTTTTGCTCACAGCTCGTGGAGTTTTCTAAATGCAAAGATGTTTCAGGAGTCAGGTATCTCTTTGCATTAACTTCACTGTTTGCCACCGCCAGCCTCCCACCCTGCTTAAGCTCTGCCTAGAGCTGCAATGTGCCCTGGGCTCCAACACCTTCATTATTGGCCAAGAAACACAACAAAGCAGAGCAGAGCCCTCAGTGCCGGCGGGCTGCGCGCCTCCCCGCGCGTTTCCGTCACTCACCAAGCCGCGGAGCGCAGGGAGGGCCTGCAGGTCGCAGCAGGCACGCAGCAGGACGCGGCAGCGATCCGGCAGTTCTGCAAGGAGACACCGCGGTGAGGAGGCCGGCTCCTGGGGCACTGCAGCACGCCGGCTGCCGGAACGCAAAGTGGGGCACGGGGCTCTCCTGCTTCCGCAGCAGGAGACGAGGGAAAGGGGAGAGGCTTTTTGGAGGGCCCCCGGGGACAGCAAAGGCTGTTCCGAAGACCAAAGCAATTCAAAGCTCTCCCAGGAGTGCCGGGGAACATTCAGAAGAGGCTGATCCACCCTCTCCTTGTCGAACCCAGTCCATCTTCCAGTTTGTACCACAGAACAGGATGGGAGTGGTACAAAACCCAATGCTGACAATCCCTGCCCTTGAGACAAGCCTTGTTAGGGCTGAACAAGTGATTTGGGCCTTGAGTAAAACAAGATCCTTTGCTCTCAACACCAGCATGAGCTGCTGACTCCAGCAGAAACACAATTTGAGCAGACTCAAACAGCTGACCTCTCCCTGGGGCAAGGACTGAACGATCCCTTTGGAACCCTTCAACTCTGTGACTCAAAGGCTGCAATTCCTAATCGAAGCACCAGGCACAAAGCAGCTTTTGATTCCTCAGTTAGGCCTGCACAGCAGCAACAGGCACCATGCACAAGGCCAGGTGGTAACACAACACGTGCAATGAACTGGGCCCGCTGTTAGCGGCGGGTGGCAAGAGTTACTGCACCACTGGCTCCCTGTTTGCCATTTCTGTTGCCTCTTTACAAATGAGTTCAGCCCTCCTACCTGGGTCCTGTTGGTATATGCATGCACACTGATATTCTGCTGCACATGCCACATCTAACTAATATCTCACTGGACTTCCTTGGTTGTTTTAATGTCAAGCGAGGAAAGAATATGCCTTGGATTTTGCAGGTGGCTTTTAATTAACATTGTGGCGCCAACTAGATTTTGTGGATGGCATTTGTCTGACATTTACAGTTAATCACCTTTTTCAATAGCAGCTAAACAATCCTCTAACTGCAGTGTCTCTACGCTAAATTCATTTTTGCTAAATATATTTTACATGGCAACAATATGTGCTGCTACACAGAAGACAACACCTAATATGCAATCCTCAGTATTTAGGTGGGAAGAACTCTGGCATGCAGCAAGCACAGAAATTAGCTTGCCAAACTGAAATGCCTACTTTCAGTGGAAACTAGAGTTGAGCAGTCTTGAGGGAATGTGTATTTTACAAGCAAAATCTGTCAGTGATGGAGGACTGAATTTAACTCGCAGCCAGGATGCCAAGCACAGTGAACCACTGCCACAAAAAGGAACAGAACAAAATACACTCACTGAGCTCACCAACTGCTCAAAAAGAGCAGCAACTGTTTTATACAGAGAGAGTTTCTAGAATGAAAAAAAGGCTTTTCTCTTCATTCATGGCATACCAGAGATTGCACTGATGAGGAGGTGAGCAGCTGAGAAGAGTCCCTCATTCTGAAGCTGATATTTCTGCAACAACAGCTCATCCTGCAATCTACACCCTAAGAGCTGCAAGAAGTCATCCAGTTCTTGCTGCTGTGCAGGTTTTAGCTCCTTCAGGTCAGGCCTGTCTCCTGTGCAGATATCATCTAACTGTAAGAAAAGAATAAATAAAAGTAACTTGAAAGAGAAACATTTGTGCAAAAAGAAATGCTAGCTCTATTTTGAAATTGCTTTTAGGAAGCCAGCCAAAGTTCCTTCATCTTACCACATCTTCTAGGGCAGCGACCATTTCCTCACGGAGCAAGAGCTCATACAGGGTTTTATACAAAGCTCTTCGCTTGTCTTCTGGCAGCTTCGCAAGGGGCTGGAACTGAGTATTCAGCCGTGATAGCTCTTTCCCAAGAAAGCAGTAAAAAGTTAAACTAAGTATTGCTGCACAAATGCCAGTAAAAACAGTTAACATTTTTGCTATGAGTTTTAATAGCTAATTTATCACCACATCTTGACATCCTGATTTCCATCTGTGCAAGTCGTAAAGAAATGCTGGAACACATTTCGTTATATTTCCCTAATGAGTTAATGCAGCATCAACAAAACTTCTGACAAAAAATAAATACTGCTACTAGGGATCAACACTGTGTTCGACATTTTAAGGTTATTAAAATTAAATATGAAGTGGTTAATTCAAATATTGCCTCTCACCTGAAAGTTCATCTCCAGAGAAAGTTCATTAAAGCAGAATGAGGAGTTCTACTCATAACCTGACTTCTCCACATGAGTTAATATGAATGACCAAGCCAAAATACTTTACAACAGGCATATTACCAATAAGCTCAAAGAAAATAAGTTTTTGGAGTCAACCATACCAACTGGAAGGCTGGAATGTATTTTTCCACATTCCAAAAATACAGGCATGCAAGCAATCTTAACCTTGTTTAAAAGAAATTAAAGAAGTTTCCCTTCATGTCACTCTGGACAAGAAATGTGCTCTCTTTAAGGATGCCTTTTATATCTAAAAATTCCTCTGCTGAGGAAAAAAAAAAAAAAAAAGAAAAGCCCCAGCCACAGGCAGATTTTTTCTATCTAATGCAATCATATGACTGCCCAGCCAAATAAAAGAGCAAAAATCAGAGCAGAAAACCCTCTTTAAGTTACTTTAGTAGAAACACTTTTTTTTTTTCCAGTCCTTTTAAGAGTTGGTTTCTGTTAAATAAATAAAGGAAACCTGCAAGTCCTGCAAGCAAAAAATGCACAAAGGTATGCAAGCTAACTCACAAGCCAAAGCAGTGGCACAGTGTTCTTTCATTCAAAAGTATTTTCTTTATCCACAGAGATGCACTTATTCCTTTCAAATAACTCTACATTAAATTCTACGTTAAGGGCACAACTTACTTCAGCACAACAAATAACTATTTTGGTCATAATTAATCTGCTGACGAAGCCACAAACAAATGGTTAAATACAGCGATCACAAATGCAATGCTCATCATTAGAAATAGATGTAGGAATTGTAATGAGAACTGTTGAAAAGCAAAAGGGTGCTGAGGCCTTGATTCACTTTTTCCTTTTTTTCATTCCTCCAGACTAATGGCTTTGCTTGGGACAATCCTGACTCTTCTGCACAGTTTCCAAATTACGAACCAGTGCTTCAATGACTCTTTTTGAGTTAAAACATAAAGCATTACTAATCTTACAGAGTTTGGCTGGAATATAACAGAACTGACATAAAAACCAAACTTTGGAAGATCATATTTATGACAAACGGATTCAGCATGTTCTTAGGGGACAGTCCACTGCATATAACTGCTCCAGAAGTAAATGTTTTCTTTTGTTTCTAAGCATTTCCCCTGGAGTTCCTGATATGCACTATGAAAATGAACTAACATAATTTCTTATGGAATATTGTATCAGAATATTTCCCTTTATCATGTTACTTAACTCACTGTAATGTAATCATGTAAAGCATTTCTGGTAATACCTTGTTTCAATACACTTAAGGAAGCACCACCGGGAATGAGGTTTATAGCCCCAGAGTATGTCTCATTATCAACAGCATCTGGTTGATACAAGAGAGAAGCATCTCCAAATAGTGCAGAATGGGGAGAAGTGGAGCCTTCTGTGCCTTCTCTTTCAAAACCTCCTTGCTGCTCATCCAGCAGACAGAATTCTGTAATTAAAATTCAATAAAGAAAATCATGAAAGCACACAAGCAAATACTGAATGAGACGCTACTTTATATTAGCTGGTATTTGTGCACACAATTTCGCTGTGTCTCATCTCTTCCAGGTGGAAAGAATGCCAAAAACTGCATTTGTAGTTCTCTGTGAACTACCCAGTATTACCAAGGCCTCGATGTTTGGAGCACAAACATTGAATGTGCAGGTAGAGGCTGGGAGGTGCAGTTACCAAATATAAAATGTGACACCAACTTCTGTGAATTAAAGCAGTGAAGTCTACGAATAACATGAAAACCTCTCTCACACACCATAAACCTGAACAGTGCACGCCAGAGATGCACTATAGCTAGCTAGAGAACACCCTAAGGTAGACACACACACGCAAACGCTTCTTGGGATTCATAAAAACCCCCGTAAGGGTCCCTTATAGAGATTTTTCTGGCCATGCTATCAACAGACCCCTCTGAGTCAAGCCATAGGTCTACTGCCAAGTCCTCCCACTGAGTGAAAAACTTGGGGCTTCTTAGAGCAAATCTCTTAAGCACGTCACCCAGCCACATCCAGGATCAGAGTCAGCCTTCAATACAGTGACTCTCAGTGTTTCATGGGGAAAACACTGCAACCCTGCTGGACTATCCTTTTTAGATAGGCCTTAGGAGGAAAAAAATAAATAATAAAAAAGCAAGCACTGGTCTACCCTACCTTACCCAAGCTGGACCGGCGAGCTCCCGCCACCACACAGCCCTCCGCTCACCTCGTGAAGGTGAGCGACTCAGGCAAAGGTACCCAGGGAGCCTTTTAAGAGTTATACTGAGAAATCTGCAATGTCAAGGTCTGTGCTCAAGCCTTCGGTACTGCGTCTCTAAGCTAGGCAGATAACCAAAGACTCCTGTATTATTTTGATCTTCCTTTAATGGTTCGAACGCAAGATGTGGAACTGTACCCACGGCACACTGCAGCAGGGCTGGCGAGAGGAGCATGGGCAGACTAGCAAGGGAAAGTCGATTTTAAAGTAATACCTGACAGCAAAGGAAAAAAATGTAACTAATCAAGCACAGTGCTCACATGTACCAGGCACAAAGCCTAAATATAACCTTCCTGTAGTCGTAACAGCCTGTCTCACCAAATTAAGGACATTCAAAGCAGATGAGAAAGCACAGAGAGCACTCCAGCAGCAAAGAGCTTTTTCAAAGGGGGAGCAGAAAAAGAAATCTCTGCCACAGAAAAAGACAGAAACCCTTTTACTCCTGCTGCCCACACAATGCTTTCCAGAGAAAAGCAGGCTTCAGTGGAACAGAAAGTGATTAACACAAATTAAAAAGAACTTCCTAAAGCAACAAGACTGAGGACAGCAGCCAAGCACCACAAGGCCACTCTGCTCATCTTGCTTTCCTTGGTACTAACGGGCCCTGTGGAGGAAGATGGTGCTCAGCAACTGGCTGCCCTCTGAGGCAGAATGATGCTCAGAGGGAAACAAGCACAAGCACCAAAGGTACATTTGTAAGAGCTACACACACTGCTGTGCAATCTCGTAGCAGGTCTTAATTCAGAGGGAAATACTCAAAGGTTTGTTTTATTAGGATTCTTTATTAATTTTATACCTCATTAATTCTAGCAGGCTCTTTCAAAGAAGCAGCAAAAGGAAGAAATAGATGAAAGAGTATACGTGATACTGGAGTATTTTTACTATTAAATTCTCTTACAAATCAGTGATAGGCCTCCACCAGTACAGTTGAATCTGACAATTATTCAAAAGGAAATTAACAGAAATGAAAGAAATACAGAGATTAAAGATGAAAAAGAGATTCCTGCGAGCGGAAAGAAAACAAATCAGGACTGTTTAATTGACTGAGATGCGTAAGAGGAGACAGGTCAAACATATACAAGAATATCAGAACAACACAAGTCGACAGGTGCTCCTATTTATCCAGTTTGGTAAAGCAGCAGCAAGGGAGCTTGCAGTGAAACTAGAAGAGACAAAACCGCAAAACGAAAAACTTTAAACAGGAGCAGGTTTTATATCCAATGGGTAATTAGCTTGTAGAAATCAAAGACACAGAGAATGATTACAGAAAAACATTGTGATACTGGAATTAAAGGAATTAAAAGGCTTATATACCATTACTTCTTACAGAATAACTCAAGCCCTGACTGTCAATGGCCAAGAGAAAGGAAGAAAACTTACATGCATCTTATTTCACAGTTATATGTGAAAAAAACCTCATTATGTTACACCTGCTGTTGGCCACTTGCAGAACCTTGAAAAAGGATTCGGTTGGTTTCTGAATTTATCTTCAGAAGCTATTTTTATCGCCATAAACAGACACTTGACCACTGCTCAGACAGTAAGGAGCTGAAGACCAGGCTTTGCCATACTTATTTTTAGTGGTAAATCCCTCATTGTGATGTTGGTCCCTCCACTCACTTTGACTTGTCATTCACAATGAGGTAAGAGGAAAATGAGAATGCTAATAAAAATAAATAAGTAGATAAGGAAAAAGGGGGAGATGTGTTGTGTATGAATTCCAACAAGTAAAGATGAAACAAGACTTTTTTCTTCTGAGGCTTAAAACATTAGAAAATTAACTATGAAGACAAGATAGGACAAAAGTGGCAAAAGCAAAGAGGAATGCATATCACTAACACCACCCATGTATTAATTATCAGCTAGCAGGTCATAAGAAGTTCTATCTGGAAAAGACATAAGTAGGCTGTCTGTTACATACCTGTGTAGTCTGATAGCTTTAATTGCACCTGATTACTCTGAATTACAGCTCTATTATAACTGTGAAGTCAATGCCCTCTGGTGTATCTCTGTGCTCACCTTATGTCAAGCCGACTCCCAATTAAACAAAAATATATATATACATATATAGATATATATTTACAAGTTACATGATGTTTAGATACATTCCTGACCTGCAGACCAACTTATTCTCAGAAGTCTATTGAAGAAAGAGAGACAGTATCACCAGCATTTCTTCAACTATTTATTTGGTTTCTCTTCTTTCTCTCCACACTAGTCCTTTTCAACTTCCAGTCCATCTGATTCCCTTCCTTCTTACATAATATCCCCTGAAAGCTGCTTTAGGTCTGCGACTTCGATTGAGGATGGACAAGGAAGAAAAAAAAAAAAAAAAGAAAAAAAAGAGATGTTGTTGGAAAGCAGAATTACCATTTTCTCTCCTCCCAAAGCCAAGAAAATAGGATGAGGGCAAGGAAGAGGAGAGGTGGGAAAAAGAAAAAGAAACAAACAAACAAAAAACAAACAAACAAAAAAAACACACCAAACTTCAGAAGTTGGCCCTGCTCTGAGCTGGTATGTAGATGACCTCCTTTTCAACCTGAGTTATTCTGTGAGTCCATGATTTATGTAGACTTGTTAAAAAAAAAAAAAAAAAAAAAAAAAGTACTTTTAAATCAGATAAGCAGCATTTCATACTGCTGCTTTTGCTTAAGTGCAAGTAACTATCAAGGCAATGGACATGACACAAGATTGTCAGGTTGGTACAAGGGGCAACAAAAACATTGATCTAGAGAGAGTTCTTTCCACAGCTGAGCCAAGTTGCCACACAAACTGAACTTTCTACTTACCAAACTGGCCGCTCTGCTTTATATACAGTTCAATTACACCATAGGCAATAGCGGTGGCTGGAGGGATCTCTAGGATCACACTGGAATCCTTCATTATGCTTCCATTTTCACTCACCGAAACCTAGAGAACAGGTTTATTCAACGTTTGGTTCATTTATTGTGTAGCCTATGCACAAAATTAATTAAGAGAAAGAGTAAAAAAATGCAGACAAAGAACATGCTTCATTCTCCACAACATTTGACTAAAGCACATGTGATATTTGATATTTATGGAAAAAAAAATAAAGCTACGTAAGAGGCAAGATTGAGGTACCAAAGTGTCATGAGCAACTCTCAAATTTTCACCTACCCTCTTCTAGTACAAAGTTGAGCTCCAGGCACAATTTTCACTTTTGCTACACAGGAATGAGAAACACTGTGTCAGGGGAATGTGGCACCCGATTCAGTGTCCTGACCTATCCTGGACACCTCTCCTGCCCAACTGGAGACTTGTACCAGGAGGGCAGCATTGGCACAGAAGACCATGAAACTGTCCAAATTTCTGCCAGTGGAGACTCCCTCTACACAGAAATGATTCATTTGCTGCCTTAAAAACTTAAGCATATATTGGACTTCGGTAGGCATTTTTTTCGGTTGTCCTCATAATGCAATTAATCCCTACTCCCCTGACCACAAAAAAAGAGCTTCTCAATAAATATTAAGACTCAGGAGATAATCATTCATCAAAAGTATTTGCAGTATTTGGCTTTTCAAATGAATTTGTTTCAGTAATGCTTTTGCTCTTTAACATTCACTGAATTGTTATATTTGTTCCCCTCATGTTTTGCCGTTGGCAGGAACCTACATAGAAACTGAACCACAATTTGAGAGTGTTGATGGAAACAACAGTCCAAACCCGCACTAAAGGCTGGCACCGTTAGTCAGTGAGGTAAGAGCAAAAACATTTTACCTTTTTGAAGTTTCACAGCTAAGGATAAAGAATTTTTGCAACTGATAGAATGTTAAGAAAAAGGAAAAAAAAAAAAAAAAAAAAAAAAAGGAAAACACCGAAAGCTATTTGGAGAAATCCTAATTTTTTCCTCAGATAATCTGCAGGATTAGCTAGAAAAAGCATACTATTCTTAGAAGATTTTTACCTTAACTATTTTTGCACTCCATCCCACGACGCCACTGATCTTCTCTTCTGTCTGGATATGTTCAGATATCACACACTTTTGAGTTGTTACTATCTTTTCTCTCAAGATGCAGAGCACTTCATGTTTTCTTTCTATTACTTGTTGCAGTAAATTATTGTTTAGATTTATTGTTCTGAAATAAACAAAGACACCAATAACAACATAAATACTAGAAATGAGAAAACATTTTCTTAATTGTTTAAAAACAATCTTTGAGTAAGATTTTATTGTAAAATAACAATGTATAAGCAACCTCCACAAAATTATTGGGTCCTCTTTTGTTACTGGGAAGCAGCAAGACTATAAATATCAGTATTACCCAGTAAGTCCAACAGAGAACTAGAGACAACTGAAAGCTGCTGGTGTAACATGAAAACAACCATTCCAGCTAACAGACTGGAGCGAATCCTCTGCCACTGGGAATTCTCGGGGACATTATCAGGGCTATGGCCAAGGACGCCAGCTAGTCACTCTCTTCAGAGCCTAATGTTAGCACAGTCTCAATAAATCAATGGATTTCATGGATGAGCTCTGTTTAGAGGGAGAGATTTGCAGCGGCAAAGTCAAGCTATGGGATGTTAGGAAATACAGCAGTTAAGAGCCCTCCCAGGCTGCTTAGTTTCTCCTTTTGTAACCCTGACCCTCTTTTCCTTACAATGCCTCTGCAGTTTTTGGCCTCTGATCTGACCAGATCAAGATCTGTTTCTTCCCTATGCTCATCCATCTCAGCTTTGCTGCAGCCTGTCAGCTTCCCAGTCCCTTTTCGCTTGATCTTCCATCCTCAAAGGAGACCAACTAGCTGCCAACAGCTCCCAGCCTTTAAGTTGCCCTGATTATCACAGCTCCTGGTTTGCACTTTCCAGCTTGTCCAGCCAATGCTAATCTCGTTGATCTCCTCCTTGTCCCCATTTAGTTTTCCCATTTCTGCCTTTGTATGGGAAGCTTCCTTCTGCTCGCAGTAGGTGTCCTGATGTCCAGGCTCTCTCTGGACTGCAACAGCTTGAGGCAACTGTCACCTGAAAGCTGGTTTTGTTTCTGATGGTGCCTGGAAGTCCTGCTCCCAAATTCTTGCTCTGCATTGTGAGACACCAGAATTTTTGTTAAGGGAGAAACAGCACACAAGGACACCAGAGTCTTATTTCCAGTCCTTATAGCCCACTGTTGAGCTGTTATGGCATTTATTTAACGCATAAAGTGGTTAACTGGAACCCTTAACAACATGACCACCAAGCCAAAAGGCTGGAAAAGCTTCCATGGATCCTAAGATTGGGGAAGACTACTACAATCATCCCTACCACACAACGTACCTTAGTACATGTTTAAAAGCTACTGGAGTTCTTCCAATAACTACCTGCCTAGAATGAGCAGAAGTGTTTAAAAAAAAAAAAAAAAAAAAAAAAAACAGGTCCCAGGAACCAGAAGAAATAATTGTTTTCTAAGAAAAAGGTAACAAAACACTTCCTTTCTGGGGTCAGAAAGAGTCTTTCTGGTAGAGTTAAAGCAACTTGCCAACTGCTGTCTATTGATTAAAATGCATTAATTAGACTACACTTCTGCAAAACACCCATTGGTGATGCTCAGATAAGACGTCATATTTTCTATTAACAGACAAATCTAGCAAGACAGCTGGAAGATTAAAAGATTGCTATCCCTGACTGAAGTTATTCAGACTTTTCTTCTCCATTTTACTGTAACTGGCTATTCATAGGGCTAAATGGCAATTTCCTAAAACTATGATAGAAAGACATGTTCTGATTCCAATTTATTTAAATCAAGATAGCCCTAGCTTTTTTAATTAAAAAGTTTTAGATTTATTAGATTCTTGGGTTTTGGATTTATATAGTCTGTGTAACTCAGAAGTCATCTCGATTCTTTATTGAATTAAAAATACCCTGAAGCAATTTTTGATCTTTGGAGAGTTATGCGCTTATATGAAAGTTCAATCATTCGGAATGAACTGCCTGAAAAACTTAAGGCTGATTGCTTTAACCAGAGAACCAAAATACCTCAGAAGCAATGCAAAAGCCACAAGTAAAGCTCCCCAAACATTCCCGAGATTATTAATATAACTTTTTTTTTTCTCTCCCTTTTAGTGCAGAGCCATGCTTGATGATGGGAGTCTCTGAAGTAAGCAAAAAATGAAAGAATTGTCAAATGACCACAAACGCTGATATCCTTACTGTCTCCTGCACTGCTGTTCCTGCCAAAATGCAGCTATTAATTATCATTGTATCTTTTAGCTAAGAATCCTTTAAAAATAATTAAGGCCTAGGGAATCTGCAGTTTTAGCACACAACCAAAGAAGCTACATGGGAAGAAATACAATTAAGATGCATTAAAAAAAAAAAATCAATTTGCCACTTGCTTTCCTGTCATACACTTCTTGCCTGCTTTAGAGGATGATGAACACAAAAGGATGTACTCAGAAGTTGAGCATAAGACACACGAGACCGACAGAAGGTACCAAACCACAGAGCTACTCGCCATGGCTCCCGCAGACGCGGCCTTGGAGGTAACTTGGGATCTGCTGCACCAACTTTACTGACCACAGGGCAGAGTTTAAAACCACACAGTTAAAAACACATTTTCTTCTGGCCCTGAACTGCCTACGACAAAACACTGGTGGCGTTGCTGGGCGCAGTGCAGAGGGCAACCCCTCTGCTCTGCCCCACGCGATGCTGACTCAAGCGTGAGGTCTATAAATACCCTGCTTATCTAAATTGTCTCTGAAAATAGGCATCAAGGGCAAAATGCAAAAGGGTTGAAGTTCAACAGTCTAATTAGGGCTTAAAATACTGAAGGGCAGTGGCCACTGAACACACAAGTGTACTTTCGTGGGGCTGAACTCATTTGCTAGAGTGACAATCTGAGTATCAAGAACAGCAAGATGGCCAAGTTAAACGGCTAAGAACACCCACATGCACCTGCAGGTGCTTCTTTTATTCTAGAGGCCACATTTCAGAGCTCCTATTTCTGCTCTGCCACCATCACTCTTCCCATCTCTTTCATAATTTACTGTATGGAAGCCCCCACGTGCCATGCATGGCCTAGAGGAGAGTAATGTATTCTTGAGAAGCTGAGCTCAAATGTTCAAAAGGAGACACTATAAAATACAACAAGAGGTCATATTCCTAAATCCCATTATCAACACATAGATTATGAAATGATATAAAGAAAGATCCTTTAAAAGATAAAGATCAGAAGGAGGTTGTTCAGTTGTTTGTTCTTTTTAAATAACCTTCCTGAGGTCAATGATTTACTCTGCCAGGTGCAATATGGGCCGCATACGAATAGAAGAGAATTTCTTCAGACTTTTGGTCTTACTCCACTCACATTTAATTGTATTACAAACTTCTAATATCCTAGAGTGCAAAGAAGGTTTCCTTCATTTTTATTTAACATTTTTCATCTTGCATGAGGAAAGAAATGGAGAATATATAGGCATAAAAGGCAACTTGCTGCTGCTCAGAAGTGGGAAAGAAGGGGGAAATCAGAAACCAACAGAAGGCAAGAGAGGATCTGGAAATACGGCAGGCTCTTGCCAAACACACACCTAAAACCAACAGCCGGTTTTCCTTCATACGCATGATCCCTGACTGGACTACCCAGAGGGAAGGCAGACCTGGACGATTTTCCCATCAAATCCTGCAGAGACTTCTCAGAAATGCATCCTGCAAATCCTCAAAGCGAGGTGCTTACTGATTTCCTGTGATGACCAAAACCTCAACTCTGAGTTGAGTTCAACTCTGAATACTCTTCATGCTCACACTAAGGTCAGCACATTTTTCTGGATGCACATAGTTTAATTGGCCTAAATTATCCACACCGAGTGACAGCATTTCCCACCTTTCCCTGCAGAACCACCTGTAAGGTGGGTATTTCACAGAACATCTTCCTCAAGAATACCATAGGCCTTGCAGAGTACAAATGGCAGCTATTTCCTCTATTTCCTATTCAGCATCCTCCTTATTTTTAAATCACAGACACATACTGATTTTATTCAGTCCTGTGTCATAGCATTCATACAGCTCATGTAACACCTTTATGGGAAAACTGATTATCTCATCCTACTCGTAAATGCTCACAGAGTTTTACAGACCCAAAACAAAACGTTCGTGTTTGAATGAGACTTTAAACCTGCCGTGACAGGTCAAGCCAAAAAGAAGAGGGAGATCTCTGCACACAGTGAGGCCAATGCGCTGAATCTCCACTGTGCTCTTACCTAATATTGTCCCACTTTTCTCTCGGATGATTGACTGTACCTTTGAAAGTGCATCTTGAAGTGAAATACATAAGAATGTACAATAGTATAAAAATATCTTTCAACTATGTCAGAGTTTACTACTACTAATATTTAGTCTTTTTTTTTTTTTTTAACATGCCTATCATGAAAAGTCATTCCTCTGAAACCACAGAAATGTGACAGGCAAACAAACCTGTCTCTTCTGCCCTCTTGGAGCTTCTGCTTTAATCTCCTAACCCAACCCAGTAACATGATAAAAACAAACAAGTGAACTCTTAATCTAGGAGAATTTAACAGACTGTATCCTTCCTACAGTCATTTTTACCGGAGGGGAAAACACACTCATAAATCCAGAATGATCTCTCCAAGCTTGCAGTGTAGGACTGTGCCCTAAAATCAGTATGTTACAGTACCCTGTGAATTAGCATGCTAATAGAATATTAAAAAAGGCATAAATATTGTATCATAAAATATGCAAATATACTTTTCCTACAACATTCTATCCACTGGTAGAAACAAAATTTCTAATCTGGACTGATACTGGCTTGCACCAGATGCATGCTAATTTTACAGGCCTGGTACCCACTTTAATCCCAGTATTTTCTGTTTTAATATGGCATTTAATACAAAGATAGCAAGGTGCTGTTTTAAAAACAAGTTTGATTACTTTTGAATGCTCATGAGAAACAGCACAATGGGCCACTGTTCCCAGGGAGACTCAACATTGATTATTTCTAGAATGTCCATTTACCTAAAGAAAATGTACCCAACTTCAGACAACTTTTGCAGGGATAACTAAGAGCTACCATCATCTCTATCAACACATCATTGGGAAAGGCTATTAAAATGTACTACACCAGCTCCTGCAGTTGTAGGGCACAGCGCTGTCACATATTAACTACCCTCTGCCCCAAGTAGGCTTCTGCCTGGGAGTTGCTGCAAGATTAAGTCAATCACATTTCAGCCTAGACTCTGGGGTATCCTACAAATTTAAGGTTACATCTTAGAATATCTGTTTTTCTCAGTTATTACTTTGTATAATAGCGATCAATAGTTCTATAAGTCAGTTTTTGTTAAACTACTTGAATGTGTAATCACCACAGTGCTCATCTTTTCCAGTCTTTTATCTCACCTTCAAATAACTCCACTGTCTAGCAAAGTCTCTCACAAAAGAAGTAATTTTAAACCCTTCTTACGAGAATACTGGTGGTTCTGAATTCAGTTTCCGTAGCATTTACCCCAAAAATGCAGAGAAGCCAATCCATTTTCTTCCAGATGGCTACTTTAATACAATTCCCCCTTGAAGAAGGATTTGAGCCTTGTCCTACATGGCAATTCATGCAAATATGTATTTCCTGAAGTCCGATACCTTGACTTTGCCACTCTATATCTCTCCTACAAAACAGAGTTTATCCATTAAATCCATTGATTTACTGAGACTGTCTTAACAGCAGTGAGGTGTTTATAAAACATAGGGGAAGGATCTGATCACCAAGATTTCAGGAAGATAGAAATTTTCATTTTGATATGCATGATTTATGGAAAATTTCATGTGCTGAAAAACAAGAGTTTACCGGAGAAGTAATTCTTCAACTGTGACAACACTAAAGAAATTAATTGCCTAGTGATCACATTAGCCCAAGCCTTTTACCTAATCTAAGCTCAGTAATCTTTCTTGGCCTTTGCAACAGCAGCATTAAAAACATACCTTCCCTTGACATCTTTCATAAGCTGCTGCAGATCAATCTCCTGCTTCCTCAGGTTTCCAAAGGAAGACTGGCTTTCCACACAGCCCTTCCCTCTGACTCCCAGGCTGATCTTCCCGAATGAAGTATCAATACTTCCTTGAGCAAAATCTTCAAATCTCCCCATGTATTTCACAAAGTCAGACTCCACAATCACTGTGAAAACAATAAAAGTAATTTTAGCATGTGAAAACAAAGAAACAGCATCAGAAGAACTTGGAAAAACAACAAGAATGTTACATAAAAAAATTGAACACTCAATGAAAGCAAGGAATAGTACTGAGCAGGTAAATTAACACTTCCATTGCTCTGCAAATCTTAATTCTTCTTCCTCTATATTTTCATCATCTTTGCTCTGCTGATCTTTGTTCTTTTGCTATTTTAGGAAAAACCACGATGACTAAAATGCTAAGATCAAATGCTATAGAAGACTTGCAAAGCCAAACAGAAATTTATTTTGACTACAAGGCAAAAACTATAAAGTAGAACTGTTTGCATTGTTTGCTTCATATTTTGCTTTTTCCATTATTTTGAGGTATCTCATTAATAAGCCTGTTCCAAAGCTCACCAAAAACCAAAAGAAGCATCTAATGGTATATATATGTATGTGAGACCCAGAGTTTGTTTTAAACCAGAGAACATACTCAGAAAATCAGCTGCTCTTCCAAGCTAGCTACAAGTAAAATCTACGCCTGAGGACTGATCTATTTTTCTCTGTTTTCCTGTATGGAATTATGACGAAGCCCTGTCCACCCAGCACACTCTCACCCAGAGCACAGCCCAGTTCCATGTTCTTGTGGCCTGCTGGAGTCCCCAGGAGATGTCCCAGGGAAGCTCCAGAGATGGCAGGGAGGATGTCAGAGCCCCTGCAGGGCTTGATAACCTCCAGCACTCAACTGCACTAGTCTCTCTAGACAAAACTGTGTTTTAAAAAATTAACATGGTGTTGTTTTTAGCCAAAGGAACAGTCAAGTGCAGAAAATATCCGGTCATCCCATTTCTAAGAAGAGGAAATACTTCAGAGCATCCCTTTGAAAGGAGCCCTCAAGTAACACGATTAAGAAAAACAACAAAAAAGATGAGGCTCTGCATTCTCCTGGTCTGCCGCAGTACTGCTCTTCAAGTGTGGCTTTACCTGGCTTTATAGGCTTGTCTTCAGCAAGCACATCACTCAGTGTGACTGTCAAGAAATGGTACTTGGGCTTCTGCCAGCACCAAAATCTCTTCCTCTTTGTAACCAAGCTCAGAAGTTGTAGTTTGTCAGAGGCATTCAAGTGGGAGACAGGGATCAGGTCACCTCCACCGTCAGTTTCCCTCACAAAATTCTTTGTTGCCTTTGCAAACATCTTGGAGAATCACTTAAAGCCTGAAAGATTAAACGTATTCTTAAACTATAGTTTGAAAGTATAAAATATGCACATTTTTCACTTTAAAAAGTTCTTTGCAGTAGTTAGCCTTTTTACACCACCTTCTACACAGAGTTGGGGATCAACAGCTTGAATAACTTATTCAAAAGAGTAGGATTGCAACCTTATTACAATAACTGATGAAAGAATTTTAATTAGAATTTTAAATATGCAGCAGTGAATAAAGAACGCATTACAAATATAGCACAAAAGGTTTCCATGTTACAATAATAATGTATGTATGGCATTTATGATCATGCGGATAATGCAAGAAAATAAATGTGTGAGAACAGATACATTCCAATATAAAATAAAAATAGTCTTTCAAAGAACATTCACATGTAATTAGTCTGTTAGGGAGGAATAACTTACCCAATCTACCTGAAGTTCTGAGAAAAAGCTTCAAAGCAAGTCTGGGAGCATCGACTAATGAGAACCCTGCAGACACCCTCTGGGATCATGAGGGCACAGATGCAATGGCAGAAAATTCCTTTCTCCACACAGAATCCTTCTTTCATTACCTTACTGACAACATAAGATTACCTTAATCTGTATGAGCTAAGTGGATATTATTCATACAAATTATCTTGATTATAACAATGAGTAAACACATCTAGTGGCAATAAAAAATACTCTGTAAGAAGCAACAAAAATAGTACTGGCTGATCTATGACTAAGTTGTCTTTCTGAACTGCGCCCACGGAAAGCCCCAGTTCATTCCACTTTCTGAACCTTTCTACATTCAATGTTTTCTGATCTTTACTGCCCATTAGCATAACTACAGGTAAATCGAAAATACACTGCCTGCAACTGTCATTTGTAACTGCTAAGCTGTTACTTATGTTATTGTACTCTGTCTTCTAAATTTACCTTAAAAATATTGGTATCTCTTCTTGTGCAAAGTTTCCTTTGTTTCCAGCCATATCTTTTTCTGTGTTTACTGGGAACTTTTTCAACACAGGAAACTGACCGAACTCTCAGAAGAAAAAGCAAAAAATGACCATCACAGAGAAGGGCTAAATGTGCATTTCTAATACACAAAGTTTTAAATTTATAAAATAAAAAAAAGAATTTTTTTTAGCATTTCAACTGTTTCTTGATCTAAAGATACTGTCAGAATTAAATATATTTTTAAGATGACAGCATGACTTTCAATCCCCCAGTTGACACCGGAAAGTTAAAGTAAAAACATAAAATCTCTTAGCTGCCCATCTTTTATCTTTGAAATGCCATATCTGCACATTCTCAATTAATTACCTGTCCCTCTCCATAGGGATATTAGATTTGTCAATTGTAAGTACAGACCCAAATAAGGTAGGACAGACTTCAAGCAAAGTAAGATACAGCAGTGGACATTCATGATTATTGTGAGAAAATGAAAAACTGAGCAAAAATAGTGGTCAGACCACAGTGTTCATGCTTTAGTATATGTGGGAGGAAGAGGGGGGAAAAAAAGAACTCTTTGAAGATGGAAACTTAGCCTTTTCCTAAATCCCACTGCAGAGAGTACTTCACACAGTATTTACCAGCTCGTGTTTAGGTATCTATCCTTCTTGTGAAATCCCTATGGCCTCCTCCTAGCTCCCTACATAAGCAAAGTTAGTAAAGGATATTTCTCAGCAGCACCAGCACAGAAAGGATTTCAGCAAAGTTGAACTCATGTAACATTTCACTGAAAAGTCTTCAGGGGCTTTCATTACAAACCATGGCTGCAGCATACTTGCAGAGCACTTCAAACTGTACGCACTGGGAATATTATCACTGACTTTCTGCTTCTCTGACCTTTGCCTGAACTGTAAACTGAAACTGATTTTTGCATTTTTAAATTTCCCTTCCTTAAGTTTCCAGTTTTCATCTTGGTGAGAATCCTTTTAACAGAATGGGAATCCTTTTAACAGAATGGGTAATGGGTTCCATTTATAACTTAAAAACCAAACAAACAAAAACCCCTCAACAGCAGCTAAGAAAAGAAATAGCAAAAATCAGTTCCTATAAGTTGGCTGTTACACTCTCACTAGATCAACTTTACCTCACGAGGTGAACGAGCAACACATAAAACTTGTTTCTGGTGCATGATGGGCTGCATTGTGCCCTTACTCACAATTTCCACACTTTTGACTAGCAAAAGGGACACCTGGGAAGGATTGCATCTTCCTAATGAAGCCTGCTGAGACTCACCAGACAGGGGAGAGGGCTCTGTCATTAGCCACAGAGTGACAATATTAATGTCTCCTATGATCTGCTGCGTGGGGAACATCTTTGCAGGGAGTGTATTTGCTGGTGCAGCAGTACCTGCAAGGCAATAATACTTTGGGCAAATTGCTCTTTAGCTGGACATGGTGCCTTTGACACAAATTCTGAAAATTCACCCAAGTATTTTGTTTTTTTTTTCCCCCCCACTGTTTCTCACAATTAAGATGCAGAGCACTGAAATGTCCCTACCAACAGCAGGAGGTCAGTGCAGCTGAGTGGAGCGGAGCCGTCCTGACTGCACGGGCCCAAAGCGGCTGTGGGCACCGCGTCAGGAAAGCTCTGCCTCCCCTTTCCCTGCTCCAGCAGTTTTGCCAGAGCCCTTCTTGCTTTGGCAGAACCAAAAGGGAGGCATCAAAGCTGGAATGGAGAGCCTGAGAGTTCCTACAGACCCCGAGCCAGGCCTGAGAGCAGCCAAGAAAGCAGACGCGCTTTCCTTGCCCAGCAAGGAATGTAAAATTAGCCCGAATCTGGGTTATGGGAGGAGTGTTCAGCAAAGAAGATGAGATTGAGTGAAGTTGTTCAGAGCAGCATCGCAATTCGGCAAAGCAAAACAAACCCTGTCCCAGGCATTTATCAAAGCCCCTTAACTCTGTATGCTGGAATATTAGATACAAGGACATATTTTATAGAGCAATAATCAGAGTTTACCTTGGCTGTGAGGTCTGCACAGGTACCCACTATCTCTTACGCTCTGTACATACATAAAAACAAACAAATAAATAAATTTAGGGGGGAAAAAACATAAGACCACCCAGAGGCCTGAGCAGAGCAGACAGGGAACTTGTGAGGAGGATGACAACTGAACCACCAAACAATACCTTAGCACGCCGGCTGCCCAGCAAGCCGCGAGGGGCACCTTAAAGGGCACGTAAAGGTTCTTTAAAGGGTACTTAAACACTACCTTCAAAGGCAAT